CAACCCATCGCTCTCTGAGCAGGAGACAAGATCAGCTGCCATGTTACAGGGACAGTAAATGACTATTATTTCCATGTAATGGCATTGTAATTGTTTAAAAAGCGCTGCAGACGCACATGTTAAATGTCACACAAGAGGCTGATGCTGTTGTGTAACATCATCATGATCATGCCTCTTTGGATTCCGTGATGCCGGCATGTTGTCTAAAATCACACAACCTAACACAGCAAACAAAAAACAAAACTATAATTGTATCATTAGACGCAGAAAAAGCATTTGATAAAGTAAACTGGTAATTTCTATTCAACACTCATTCACAAACTCGGCTTTGGAGAGTCGTTCATCCACTGGATCAAAATTCTTTACACTTCACCTATGGCCACAATAACCACAAACGATATCACATTACGGGGTTTCACACTGCACAGAGAAACCAGACAAGGATGCCCACTCTCACCTTCGTTATTTGCCATCTTCATTGAACCCCTCGCTGCAGCAATACGAAAAAGTAATAACATTAAAGGAATTCAAAATAGCCATTCACAACATAAAATCAGTTTGTATGCAGACAATATATTATTGTTTTTACAAGACCCCTACAAATCATTAAAAGAAAGTTTCAATCTAATCAGCAACTTCTCCGCGATTTCCAACTACACAATTAACTGAAACAAATCAGTCATACTCCCCCTGTCTGAAACCACTTGGGATTCTGCAACTCAAGACCCACTCCTCCCCTTTCACATCGGAAACACTAAGTATTTGGGTATCAATATTTTCTCCAGGCTGTCAGAGTTATTTAACCTCAATCATACTCCACTGCTAAAAAAAATACAGGACGACCTGAAACGATGGATAAATCTCCCACTCTCACTAATAGGACGAATCGCAACAGTTAAAATGAAAATCTCTCTATCTCTTTTCTATGCTTCCCACTACCCCAACAGACAAATGGTTTCAATCTCTCAACTCCTCAATCAACCAGTTCTATTGGGAAAAAAAAATCTCACTCTCAACTTCACAGAAGAAAAAATCCCAAGGCAGCCTTGAGGCACCAAACTTCCCACTATACTTTCTAGCAAATCAATTACAGTACCCAATCAAACGGATTCAACAACCCAAATACAATAACTCACGGATAGATTTAGAACAATCCCAATGCAAAAACATCTCAATCACAGACCTACCGTTCGTACCTCAATCAATTAAAAAGCTCGACCTCTTCAAAAATACAGTAATCTCGACAACTCTGACAGCCTGGTGGAAAGCCAGTAGAGTCACAAGTTCATCACTAACACCCAATTTGGCACAACCCTGATTTCCTTTCTGGCAACACTCCCATTCACTTTCCCACATGGCAAAACAAAGGAATCACTCACCTTCATCATCTTTTTGAAAATAACCAATTCATAACTTTCAATACATTAGTCCAGAGGTACGGGGTTGGGAGAAATCAGCTCTTCCAATATCAACAACTTAAATCCATTATCAAATCTAAGATTAATATAACCAACAACCCCCTCGAACCCTTCAAACTAGGCAAAGAAATCAAGAAAATCACAGACTCAAAAAAAATAATCTCAAAGCTCTATAAACTTCTATCCAACTCAGATGAATCCACAACACTCCCGACCGCAAAATGGGAAAATGATCTGGCTATTTCTCCCAATCCCGACTTCTGGACACAAATCTGTACAAATAGCTTCTCTATGACAAATAACACAAACTTACAACTTATTCAGTATAAGACACTACATAGGATTCACATCACACAACACAAAATGCTAAAAATGGGCTTAACTAACACAGACACCTGTTCACAATGCACATTAGGGAGCACCGACGATTACTTTCACGCAACCTGGACATGCCAACCAGTTCACTCCTTTTGGGTAGCAGTCACAAAAAAACTTTCTTGCATATTGAGCTGCAGAATCCCACCATCTCCGTCCCTCTGCCTGCTCGGAGATATCACAGAAACCAACCTCCCATCCAAATACAGAAACCTGCTGCTCATATCTCTAACTATCGCCAAGAAAACAGTTCTAAATCAAAACAATCTTTACACATGAACCACTGGACCAACCTTCTTACAGAATTCATCTCAATAGAGAAAATGGCAGCCTCTAACAAAAGTAATATGTCGGCCTTTAATGAAACTTGGAACCCATTTCTCACTCTTCTCAGTTGATACCATCCTACATCAGAAGTACATCAGAACAGCCCACGCACATCTCCACAAGCCCATAAAACACTCCTTTTCCGTATTTCTTTTTTACTTCCTCTTTCTTTCTTTCTTTCTTTCTTTCTTTCTCTTTTTATTTTTCTTTTCTTTCTCCCCGTTCTCCTCATTTACACTCACTTAGAATTCTTACTATATCGTTATTATTATTATTATTATTATTGATTATGATTGTGATTATTATTACAATGATTGTGATTATATTNAAAACATAATCTCAAAGCTCTATAAACTTCGGTTCAACTCAGATGAATCCATAACAACATGTTGTTGTTATCATTGTTATTATTAGCATATCATCATCATAACTACAGTTATTTACTTTATTTATTTATTTTTATTTCCTAACAGTAATCATGATAATGACATTATTATAATAAAATAACGGCAGGGGGGGTGAGGCTGGACTGGATTGGTTGAAGGTGGAGGTGAGCGGGGGCTCCATGCCTGGTTCTCTTGGGGTGTGGCAGGACCTCAGGTGGGGGCAGGTGGGGGGCAGGGAGGTTGGGCCCTACCTCTCTCCCTCTCTCTCTCTCAAAAAAAAAAAAAAAAAGCCACTCCTCAGCAGGCAGACAACATCCCAAGGGTCTGGGAGTTGCCCAGACCAAGAAGAGGCACAGGAGGTCAGATCTGCAACGGGGCAGCAGCTACCTCTGGGTTTGGTTGCGGCCCAAGGTACGATTGCCCCTAAATTAAAATCAAATCAAATAGAATTAAACAAAAATTAATCAAGGGGGAAAAAAAGGGGGGGGGGGGTTCCTTTCGCTGCCTGCTTATTATCTATACCATATTGGACATAATAATACCATACCATCTGTTTTTCACACACACACACACACACACACACACACACACCTACCTATATACATATCATTGTTACTTTATGTTGTTTTCTGTTGTTGTTTGTACTGTATGTCCACTGTTTGTACTCAACTTGGTGTAATGTATTTGTCCTCTATGTCACCTTTTCGGTTGTCACGTAATTTTTTATGCTATGTAAAAATGCAAAGGCAGCATAAAGGAGTGACTTCATAGCAGCCCTATAGTGCAACCTCTTTATAAGAAGGTCTACAGACTTTGTGGTGGTTTTGCCTCTTTTTGTTATTGTCTTGCGTGTCGTTGTAGTCATTTTGCATCTTTTTGTAGTTTTATGTCTGTGATCTTTTTCTGTGGTTGTAAATTTGTCTCTGTTTGCAGTTATTTTGTGTCACTCTGCAGTTCCTTTGCATGGTCCTGTGGTCTTTTAGTGTCTCTTTGCGGTCATTTTGAGTCTCTTCCTTGTCAGAAAGTGTTCATTTGAGTGGCAGGTGAAGGTCATGGGTCCCCCAGTGACACTCTAGGCCCCTGGGCCTTTGCCCCATAGCCCCATTCAATAATCCATCCATAGACATCACCTGTATAACAATTTAGTAACAACATAAAGTATCTGATATGAACACGTGGTCTAATGTGAAGGGAAAAATCTGAATATATTTTAGTATAAATGTAGAAGCCTCTGTTTACTGTTCTGTTGATGATCATAGGTGAAGTCTACTCACTTCATATTCCACCATATCCAGCTGTGACTGGAATGTTTATAGGGGCGGGAATCACCAAAGGCCCCACGATACAATATTATCATGATACTTTCGTCACAATACAATGTAATTGTGATTTTAAACCTTTGGTAATATGCTTATTTTTGCAATAACATACAGCTTATTGCAATATGTTGTGATTATTATCTTTTTTTAACCTAAAATTATGTCCCCCAAGGAAAAATTTGTCAGCATCCACTTAGATAACATCTCTCACTACAATCATTTTTATTCCAGCAAAATGTATCCAGCGGACTGAAAAAGAAATTGATTTTATTATTCTAGTAGGCTACCAAATTTGCATTTGCAATACTAATAATTTATATAATAAAAAAATAACACCTGGAGTCAGTGCATTAATACAATAATGCCTCATAGATACTATGTTGTTTTCATTACACTTAAATGTTATTATATATTACATTATGAGATTGTTCATACTGGTGTATTGGTGACTTTCCTCTCATCTTTTTTGTGAAACATTAAATGACTTAAACCTTTCTGTAATTTTCATAGTAAAATCATGTGAAAACTTAATCTGAAAAGCTACTATTTTGTCATAAATATGCAGTGCAGTAAAAGTATTTTCCTGAGGTACGTGTACAAGTAGCATGAAACAACAAATACTTTCCATCCTTGCTGCATTACTGTATCAAATACAGTGATAATGCAACAAAACTGCCAAGTAACTTGGATAATAATTAATGAAACCGACCTTCCTGTATATCCATCATCTTGTGAGCCCAGACATGCTCTATGATCCACAGCGGGAACTTTGGGAAGTTTAGTAAAGATGTATTGGCAGGCTGCAGCTCTGTTCCCTCCATCATCAGATGCTCACAGGTACTGCGGCGCTCAGCTCATCAGGGTCTGTGCAGGGACGACAGCACCGACTATCAGCCCGCTGGACCCTTTTGAACCCCCATTCATGAATGGGCTGCGACCACCCACCACACTGGACATGTACCGGCAAGTTGAGAATGAGACGTTTTGAACATGGCAGGTTTGGAGCTGTTTGCAGATCGTTTCACTTTAAAAACGTTGCAAAAAACTTCCCTGTGAAACTCACTGGCTGTCAAAATAAAGTGTTTTTGAGCTGCACTGATAACAGTGCTAAAACTGACAGACTTTTATTTTGAAGTGCGCTATGCCACGCGACGATGATGACCCGGAAGTAGTTAAACAGAGCAGTTGTTCACCGCCTTGTTCCCCGCTTTCACCTTCAGTCTTGAATATAATGGTCCCTTTTCAGCTAGAATGGTGGCGTACACGTTAAAGTAAGGTAACGGGTCTATGTAACGTCTTTATGTGTACAACTGCTACGCTTAGTTAGTAGCATTTATTGTTGTTTGAATACAGCATTTATTGCTGTACTACACAAACATGCTAACGACTTAGCTTTGTTGCCTGTGGTAGCTGTTGAATGGGCGCGCGTGTATAGTGTCACATGCGTACCCCGTCGGCGGTGTTTGATGTACTTGCTAAGATGACTTTTTTCTTCTTTCTTTATTTTTTTTAACTGAACGATTTTTTTTATGTTCAGACAACATGGCATTTACGTCTTTGCATTACATCAAAAGGATCAGGTGCACGATAAAAATCATACAAGAGACATAAATATTAAATTCATTGACATATAATCATGCGTGAAGAAGTAGAAATAATATTAATATAAATTGGTGCTGGGGCTTTTTGTAAATTATTCATTATGCTAAACAGTTCTGTTGCATTTTAATTTCTCGTGAGTTTAATGGTTTTCAAATAAGAAAGAAACTCATAATAAGGCACACTAACCCTAGGTTTCACCCTCATATATTTGAATTTGTGCTAATAAAAGTATAAGAATGTTTTGGCCAATGTATCAAGCAGACAAGACTGGGCCTGGACAAAATGCCTCACTATCATCAAAGCGGTGATTTCACAAAATCTCAAATCTCTCTTAATGGCACATACATTAACTAAATGTCCTTCTTCTGTATGATTCTTCTTACAGCACTGTGCATCACACCCCTTACATGTGACACATCATCCCAGCTGCAGCTCTACCGTGAACACAAAATCATATATGTTTCTGCTCCAGCTCCCCAGGATGGGGTTCAGACTGTGTGCATCCAAAGCCCTGCACTACAGTGCCAGGGCTTTGACTTTAACAAGGACTTCCACTTGTCTTCCACATATCTCAGCCCACTGGCCTGTACCCTGTAGTCGCTCTTACTCCAGTAGCATTAAGGTGCGCCCCTATCTTCAGTACGTGAAACGCAAGATCATACCTCCTCCCAGTCCTCCGTACTGCCACGTGTGCCAGGTAGGGGACCCAGTGCTGCGTTCACATGCTGCTGCTGTTGACCCTGCAGCTATAACAGGCCCTGAGATCCAAAAGGTCATCAACACTATGGTGAAAGTGATGCGGCAGCTTGAGTGTGTGGGACTTAGTGCACCTCAGGTCGGGGTGCCACTACGGATCTTGGCCCTTGAATATCCAGAGAAGATGTTGAGAGAGAGTTCGCCTGCATCGAGGGAGGCCCGTGGTCTTTCCATGCAGCCCCTGAGGATCTTTGTCAACCCCCAGCTGAGGGTCCTCGATGGGCGGAGTGTGGTCTTTCAGGAGGCCTGTGAGAGCATCTCAGGCTTCTCTGCTACAGTTCCTCGCTACCTGTCTGTAGAAGTGTCCGGTACGCATGTTTATATGTTAATCCAGTGTTTCTGTGGCTTTCGAGTTTTGTGCCACATCTCCTTTGCGGAGACTGTTAAGGCTACAAAAAACAGTACACAGAATGAAATTTGGCTTTAATTTATCCAAAAGAAGAATAACGTTTCAAAATCAATCATTTAAGAGTACAAGTAGTGTGAAAGAGGATGCTGAAACTACACCACGTTTCTGATGGGAAATTAATTCCACTGTTTCTAATTAGTAGACACATTATAGGGCAGTTGCTGATGCATTTCTGTATATTGCTCTCATCCCTCTGCATGTTCACCCTGCAGGTCTGAACGAGAAGGGTGAAGCTGTCACATGGCAGGCCAGTGGCTGGCCCGCTCGTATCCTCCAACACGAGATGGACCACCTGGATGGGATCCTCTACATCGACCGTATGGACAGCAAAACTTTCATCAACATCAACTGGCAGGCACACAATGAATAGAAGATCCTCAGGATGGACCACAAACCACACGAAGAATACCTAAAACTGATGATGTGCAATGATTTAAGTTTATCTCTACACCATCTCTGATCAGCCTACATTGTGTTGGTGAACGCTGCTATTTTGAGCACATGGTGTCTTTTTATCTTTCTGGTATTGAAATATTATGGTTCGTGGTTCTGGTTTGAACAAAAGCTCAGTATCAGGATCATAATGAACTGCCTCATCTGGAAATCCATCACTGGAAGTTTTTTTTCTGCTGAGCAGAAATCCCAAAGCAATTATGACCACTTTGAAGTGCAAGCCAAGAGAGCCATGTTCTATGATGAATAAAGAGGTCGATATATTCATGATGAAATGAGTGAATCATGAATGTCTGCACCATCACAGTGAATGAATGCAACTCTGATACTACTTAGCAAAGGAAAGGGGGTGGAACAAAGGGTATTGCCTATTTTTCTCAAAGACTTCTTTTTGTTTAACTCGTCTAAAACTGGTCATTTTCCTGGTTTTACATGAGAATGGACAAATGGATGAATCTACATGAAGTTAATCCAGGACAGGGACTCAGGACGTGTCTGGAACATGAGCAGGCATGACCCAGGAAAACAGGTGGTCTTAACAGTGTTAGAAATGGTTCAGTTGTCTGGTCACTTAACTTGTATCCAGGTTTCATTTTTCTGTATGTCAGTCTTAATGACTTACATGTCCCCTTGTGTCACTAAAATGTTAATCATAATGTGTTCATACGTCTGTTTTTATTTTTTTATTTTTTTGGCACATTTGTCAGCAAGGTATTTCCAAAACACTGAATGTTTAGCAAAATAGATTTGTATTTCATCCATCCAGCTAAAAGCATGCATCTCTTAGTGATCTTCAACTTTAGATACAGGGATATCAAGATGAGAAAACTTTACACCCACAAAACTTTTGGACCTGTGAAATGATCCAACTACTGTTACAAAGAAATGTAAAATGTAAATGTAGAATTAACTAGACTTACTCTATTGTGGTCGTATGCCTCTGTGAACCGGTCAAGTTGTAGTTACAGTTTACATCCATGTAGCCATCACAGCAGACAATGCTTCAAACATGGATGTTGATGCTAAGAAGCTTAATATTCTAATCTAAAATATGGATGCTTCACACACATCTACAACCTGACAGCACAAAATCTCTATACAATCAGCACAGTTTCAAGGTGGGCACCCAAGATTAGTGTCACGAGTTCAGTAGCTGACCAAATGTCTCCCTTTCTGTTCCTCAGTGATGAAGTTGAATTATGGCCAGAAAAATGTTTTAGCAAAACATGGTGTCACAGTGAAATTGACCTTTGACCTTTTGGCTCTAAATGGTCATCGCTTTATCCTATCAGACATTTGTGTTACAATTGGCGAATGAATTCTTGAGATATGGCCAAAACCATGTTTTGTGAGGTTACAGTGACCTTTGACCACCAAAATTTAATCATTCATTGTTGAGTTCAGGTGAACGTTTGTGCCAAATTTGAAGAAATTCCCTCAAGGCGTTCTTGAGACATTGTGTCCACAAGAGAGAAATAGACAACCCAAAAACACAATGCCTCCAGCCATGGCTAGTTGCTGATACTGAGGCATAAAAAGCCAAATTTTCCTGGTAAATTTCAATAAATAGATGATTATATGCAAACACCATTACAGTGCACCTTTTTTCCACTGTGATTTCAACTGAAACCTTGTCCAAAATACTCTGTAATGTTTCTAACTAATTGGTTAACAGAAGAATAATTAGCAAAATGTTTAATTGATTTATCAAAAAAATAATTGATAAAAAAAAATTGTTACTTGCTTGAGTTTGATTTTACAGCAAATAAATACAAAAACAATAAATGGCATGAAAACTATTGAAATCTTGATTCAGTAATAAATTAAATGTGATAACTGATTTTCATAGTACTTTTTCAAAAGTTTCACTAGTCCATACCTTTAGTAATTTGCTCATAAAACACATTAGACACAGACAAGTGAAGTATTGACCTTTTTTACTCCAGTTTGTGTGCAGGCAGCAAATACAGATGAAAACAGACTGCTTTGTGCTTTACATTAAACTACATTTAAGTGACCCAAAAGTACAAACCGCAATCACGACTTCAAGTCTCAGCAACAGATATTTTCAAAAATGTAGATAATGGTAAATATAGCCAGTTAGCCACGTAGAGAATAACTGTATGACAGAGTGATGAGGGTCTCAGAAAGAGGACCAAACTAAAAAAAAATGGAGCACACTCAATACTGCATTTCAGTACTGTGTCAAGGCAACATTTGATTTACTGTACTTGATTTAAAAAAAAAAGGAAAAGTACGCAGATTTAAGGCACTGTGATTTTGCTAGCTGTGCCTCTTCAGTGCAATACATTTCCAATATAAATCACACAGATGATGACTGGTCAAAAGTTTGGCCACAGGCGCATACAACAGGACTTCTGTACCAGCAATCGCTACAATACTCATTTCCGCAATATCTGCACAGAACCAGAGGCTTTCTGGAGCACGCCCTCCCACAGGTGCACACTCCCAGGGGCTTGATATTGTGGTGACTTTGGCAGAAATCTATCTCTCTGCAGGAACCAGAGTGGAAGACTCCGCAGCTGTGGCACAGGACCTGAGGGTCCAGCTTGGCGAGGTCGCAGCACTCATGGTAGGTGATTGGATGACGAGATGTAACTATTGATTTAGGTTCATCACGCAGAGCTAAGGAGGACATTGCTGCACTGCTGCTGATGAGAGTGGGCGATGTGCTCATATCACTCACTCTGAGGCTTCCACACTGTGGTGACTCCGCTCTCAATTCTTTCATTTCTTCTGTCGCATTGTTAGTGAACACTGTGCGGTGGCGTTTGTTTAAGCACGGCTGAATCAAGGCACAGGCAATGTCATGTGAAATGTTGCATTCAGTGCAGAAGTTAAGACAAAGACGAGGAGTTTGGAGACAGCTGCAAAGGTGGTTGGCTTCAGCCTCACGCTCGCAAAGCTCCGTTGCTTCTGTCTGCAGACTGCGTGACTGTGAGTCCCCTTTGTCAAACCTCAGCTCTTCACAGGGGCGTCTGCTTTGCCTCATGCTGGCTGAGGAGCTTCTGGCAGTGTCTGATTCCAGTGCTGATGTCTTGGTCAGCTGGCAGTTATATGTAGAGATGCAGACGTCCTCTCTGGTGGACAGGGAGGTGGATGAGGAAGACAAGGACGTCATGCCGTTGCTGTGTGATTTGCCAGCAGGGGGTGATGCACTGCTTTGATTTATCCAGGTTAAAGAGCGGGGACTCTCATCGACAACCACCTCCCTCTGCCCCCCGTTAACATGCTCATCTGTGTACAAATCCACCTCCCCTTCTCCATCAAATGGCTCCATCAGTGGTTTGTTGACACCGAGGGCCTTCTTGGTGTTGTCCAGCGCAACCTGTTGAGATGCACAGACAATGAATCCTCAACAATTCAAATGTATTTACTGCTCAGCAGGATTAGATCTTGTTGATGTTTAGTGCATTCAGCTGTTCACAAACAATGGTGTATCAAAGAGTATTTACTTTTATGGTACTGACTGAAATGTGCCCACAGTAGCGAGAATGTAAAGCTGTCAAGTACTGAAAGATGGCAATGACTGTCACTTAGGGCTGGGTATTTCAAACAATACCCAGTGGAATGGAATCAGTCAGTTCCAGGGGCAACCAGCAAAATAGGAGATCATCAAGGGAGAAGCAAACGGCAAACTATGTGACTGAAAATTTAAGCCAAAACCTGCAGTTCCTTAAATGGCCACTTGAGGGTGGCTCCAGAAGCCAATCAGTCCCCATAAGGCCCGTTTCCACCGCAGGAACTTTTATAATTTTACAGGGCCAGGGCTGTTGGTGCATGTCTCCACCACAGGAACCACTCCCAAAGGACAGAGTTCCGGAACTTTTACAGGGACTAAACAAGTCCTTGCCTCAGAGTAGGTACTCAGAACGGCCCCGAAAAACTCCTGGGTGGGGCTTGGGGTTTACTTGGTGCTGACTGGATACACTCAAGGCAGGATGTGACGTCAACAGAAAGCAATAACATAGCCGGCGTCACCCCAATCAAAATGGTCGCGCAACGATTACATCACATCTGGAGCCCAGTAACTTTACAGGAACCTTCCTCCTACTCCGCCCTTTCAGTGGAGACACAGGGGTTGAGATGGCCGAGCGAGAGGACGTTCCCGTAAAGTTCCTGCCCCCCAAATAGTACCAGGAACTTCTTCAGTGGAAACGGGCCTATAGACCCCCATGCTTATATGCCCAGCTTCACAGCATACATATTATATTGACATCCTGGTACAGTAAACGGTTTTGGTCTACAGCTATTACTGTATGCACATTGCAATAAAAATCAGCCTAAACTCTTTGAGTTCTCCACAAGAATTTAAAATTGTCTGTGAGTTTGAACAATGTCTCGCAGCACAATTGAGTTTAATTTGCCATATGCCAGGCAGACGTACCTGTAAGCTGCTTCCTCTCTGCCTCTCCCTCACCAAACTCAGCTCCCACTGGACCTCACCGAGGTGTTTCCCCAGAGCTGTCAGAAGGAGGCAACACTCGCAGCGGGCCAGGAAGAAGGCACATGACAAGTAGAGGAGGTCATCCAGAGAGGAAGGACTGACCCTGGGCAGCTGGAGACAAAGCTGCTCGTGCCGAGACGAGCTGAGCTGGTATCCCAGCAGGCCAAAAAGTTTCTCAATCTGTGGCATTGAGAGCACCGGTTTGATATGGTGGGTAAACATACCAGAGTACATCTGGGACATGGAGGACAAGAGAAGAAAAACAAGTAAGTCAAAAATCAGGAATTTTATGGTTTTGTCCGTGGCTGTCTTGCCAAAAAATAAAACTGAGTGTAACCCAGAATTTAACAAACAAACATAAATAATAATAATTATAACTTTGAGAAGAAACTCGGCAGAAAAATAATTTTGTAAGACTAATTAAAATCTGTAGTTTAATACATGACTTCATTGTTGCAGCTCTTTTTCAGCCAACCTTGACAACTTTGTACTCGTCTCTCCAAGGACCGAGGTACAGGTTCAGGGCAGCTTGCTCCAGGACCTCAAAAGCTTTAGCCAGGCCCTGCAGCCCTCCTCTGGCTTTGACTCGCCCAGCACCGGCTGCTGTTGTCGATGCTGCTGCTGCTGCTGCTGTGAGTGACTCCTCCATCACACTCAGTGGATCCAGACCGAGGCAGTGTGTCTCCTGAGCATCTCCGTCCCTCAGCAGGCCCTCCACCTGTTTCCACAGCTCCTCATCTCTACATGCCAGGCTGGAGCCTCGTCCCACAATTTGCCTCTCCAAACTGCGATCATAGCTGGCCACTAGATCTCTGGCTCTGTGTCTGGAGATGCTCATCTCTTTCATTCAGCTGAGAGGGAGACAAAAGGGACCGTGAAATGAAGGAGAAACTATGGCACTTGTTCATGCCTGAACTGTTTCTACCTAATTAATATTTAGCACCAACACTGAACAAAAATTTAAATGCAACACTTTCATTTTTTGCTCCCATTTTTCATGAGAAAGATCCAAGACTTTTCTTGTGCACTTTATCGATACATTTCCTTCAAATTTTGGTCACTAATTTGTTAAAATCAATGTCAGTGAGCACTTCTCCTTTTGCAAAATAATCCATCCACCTGACAGGTGTCACATTTCAAGATGCTGATTAAACACCATCATTACTACACAGGTGTGCCTTGAGATCATCACATTAAAAGGTGCCATTGGCACGCTGACTGCAGGAATGCCCACCAGAGCTGTTGCCCGTAAACTGAATGTTCATTTTACTACCATGAGCCTTCTCCAATGTTGTTTGTGTGAATTTGGCAGTACATTCAACCAGCTTTACAATCACAGACCACGTGTAACCTCCCCAGCTCAGGACCTGTACAGCCAGCGTCCTCACCTACAAGATCTTCTGACGCCAGCCACTTGAACAATTGATGCAACCACTGGTTTGCACAACCAAAGAATTTCTGCACAAACTGTCAGAAACAGTCTCAGGGAAGCTCATATCAGTAGCTGGTCCCAGATGATCTTGCAGGTGAAGACGCTGGATGTGGATGTCCTGAGCTGGTGTGATTACACGTGGTCTGTGGTTGTATGGCCGGTTGGATGAAGTGCCAAATTCATGGAAAAGGCTTTGGAGACATCTTATAGTTATTTGAGAGCAATAACGTCTTTTGTGTGCATACAAAGAGTCAGATTCTTTTTACTTTAACATGACAAAATGGGAGCAAGTGTTGTGTTTATTTTTTGTTCTGTGTACATCTATTGTGCAGATTTCTTAAATTCGAAGCTGGACAACATTAAGCAGGAAACTTGCATATATAGGAGACATACAATTTAGTTGAAACTAATTTTTTTTAAAAAAAAAAATAATTTTTAGGGAATTTTGCCTTTAATGGACAGGACAGATTGAAATGGGGTGAGAAAGAGAGAGTGGGGGTTGACATGCAGCAAAGGGTTGCAAGCTGGAGTCAAACCTGTGACCGCTGCAGCGAGGCATCGCCTCTGTACATGGGGCGCCGGCACTATCCACTATGCTACCGACGCCCCGAAACCAAATTTTAAAGATGTACTACCTACACACATGTTCCACAAGAACTCATCAGTATTTGATCCTGCTTAACATGCTGCAATGATCACAGTCCTCCAAAATTAAAATTGTGTCAGTACAATATGATGAATGTAATTCTTAAATACATATATTTACTTCCTTTTCTAAGCTGGTTGACTACTGGGAGGACAGTTTCAGTTGGAATGCAGTGTAACCAGACCCAGCGATAATCACTTTGACACATCACAGACACTGACTACTTTGATGCTGTAACAAATACTGATCATTGCTTGTGGCTTTATACTAGCAACCTATTTGTTTTACTACAACACTGGAAAACAATTGAACCACCTTTAATACGGCAGTGGTTGAATGTCAGGTGCCCTCCACTTTGAAAGAATCAGGTTTGCTCTAAAGGACGAATTTGGTGCATACCAATACTAATGCTAACTCTCACTATTTATCTCAATCTTGACCTTTTCCCCCCTTTCCTTCTAATGTATTTATTTCTGCAAGTACCCTTTGAGTTTCTGTTTGTTTTGTCAGCTTGTACCCTTCAGTGTTTTAACTACATAAGCTGTTGTGGTTCACACATGGATGGATTACTGATTGGACCTACCACACACAGGCGCAGGGGCCCACAGTGACAGGGAGGGCCCTGGCCTTCATCTGCAAATGTCAAATTAACACATACTAATAAGGAAGAGACTCAGATATGACCACAAAGAGACACAAACCCACAAAAAGATGCCTAAGGGCTGAATGGAGATGCAAAACCACCACAAATTTGTGTCTCATCGGTGGAGGACGGTTCTTTGCATATACATGCACAGGGCCCCACTGTCCACCATGTTTTCTGTTCTGCTGGTTGCCAAGTGTACCAACTTAGTGAACATACAAAAAAACAGGGCCAAACATCTGCAATGTTGCATGGCTTTCAGTAAATTATGGCGATTTGTTTTCATGGAAATGTATGGTTGCCACACGTGCTGAGGATATTATAACCACTGGCAACATAATGTTAATTATTACACGACAACTGCATGACATATTACACACATCAGCTGTAAATTGTTTTGGGCGTAGACACTTACATTTATAACCGAAAGTGAAAGTTATGACACCTTGACCTATGTGAAAGAAAACTGAAGTAATGATAATGTTAACTTACTTTCGCAATGAGTCGAAGTGTTGACCAACGCCGTTTTAACATTAAGTTCGCCAACAGTTAAAAACTGTCTGTTAATGTGTGACAACATCGGTCAGAAACAAAATAACAGTCGTCAGCATTTTATTTCACGTTAGCATTAGCTTAATGTATTTCAACACTGACTAGCTAGTTTCGCTAGGTTAACATTACCCGTTACTGCTGCCTTTTGGTCTTTTAGAAACTCACACCAAATGTCATATCGATATGATGCAATTTAAAGTGTTCTAGCTTTTTTCACTTAAATGAATTTAATATAAAAATACCAGGAATGTTTTCAGAAAAGTGTGAGCTCTTCTTTCAATTCAGCTAACATACAATCCACCAAGCAACGAAAAGTCGACTTGTAGAGTTGGGTTAGGCTGATCTCCGCCGCCTTCCAATCTGTGGGGAAAAACCCAGGAAGTGACGGCGAATTTCCTCAGTGTAGTTAAAATTTCGTATTAAGGGAAGTTTCAAGTCCCTGTGGACTAACGCCGAATTAAAGGGCGACTCTCATTGATTCAGCTAACGTTGTGTCACTGAATGTAGATGGTACGATATTTTCCAGATACGCGAGGTAATATTAAATTATCTGAATTATGAATGGCAATTCAATCCAGGACAACATTGCTGCTGTCGGAGCTAAGCTAACGTTACCTCGCAGCTAAAGTTTGATCGAAGTGCAAGCTTTGATCGACTGAGATAGATACACACAAACTCACCTGTGTTTGGCACTTATTTAGCTGCTTATCAATGAATCTGGTAGCTACAACATTTCCGGCCACACAGGCGTCGTTGTGCAGCCGACACCTGCTTGATTGTCTACGATAAAGTAAACATTGTCACGTGGCACGGATTTTCCCAGCTTCAGATGGGTGCGCCTGGTTGGAGTATCAGGGCGGGCCGGAGAAGACTCGGGGAAGATGAGCTCTGCTGCGGAAAGATGACTTTGAACTCGAAATGCCGCATCAAAACTAAACTGAAAACTAGATTAAAGGACAATACGTGGCACTTTAAAATGATGTTGCGAAATCAATCGATAAAAATGACCAGTTTGCTGTGTAAAGTTTTCTACTACTTATATTGTCGAAAGCGCATAATTCACTAGGTGGCAGCATTTCATCTTTTAAGACCCCTAACAGTCTCTACATGAAGCAATTGCCCTGTCGTTGTCAGTTTCAGAGAATAAACACTCACATACACACTGTCCCGGGATGAAGACAGTGATGAGCCTCTTTTGTTGACCTGCAGGCGTGGCTTCAGTGACAGTGGTAGAAGGGAGGAACTGTGGCCCCTGAGTTTAGTTTAAAGCATCCCGTGTTGGCCAAGATACTCTGCACAAGTCAGCAGCTTCATCTCCAGCACACACACAGAGTCATCCTCCATCCTCCAGTAGGTCTGTGCAGCTGCAGTCAGCATGTCAAACTCGGACAGGGTTGTGTTAGCTCTTGGAGGAGCCGGCACAGTGGGCTCTGGGATAGTTAAAGCACTGCTCGACAAAGGTAAGCTGCAGAGGGGCCACTTGGAGACACAATGAAAACCCCTTCTCTACTGCTAAAATAGTTATCAGAAATTTTAATAATATACACTTTGAAGCAGATGATATGACATTTTTAACTCTAAAAACGAGATTAATTGGGGGACTGTCCAAACTCTTTGATGCACAGGTGAATATCTTGCGGATTTTACGCAGGGGGAGATTCCATCGTGATAAACTGCAGAGGAGATATTTTATGATTATTTTAGTTATGTATGAGCATTTTATAGCTTTGAATTGTTAAATGACTGATGACTAATCTGATGCTGACAGCGCGTCTGCGTGCGTAAATGTGTTAATTGTAACATCTCCAAGCGCTGCACTGACAGATCCAATAATGAGGTACATGCTGTGCTTTACATTCAGGTACGTAATGTGCCGAAATAAATAATGGTATAATGTTAAATAATGTAAATATATGTGTTTTAAGTGTGTGTTGTGAGTTTTTGATAACTTTCACTTTTTTAAAAAAAAAAATCATATTTGCAATGTTGTCACTGGTTTAATCAACAAAGTAGCATGAAAAAATAATTTAATGGTTGGAGGTAGTTGAGTGTAATTTCGGTTTTCAGATCAATTTCAGTTTTCAGGATATCCCGGTTTAGAGGCTTTTTCAGCTCCAAAGCTGCAATATCTTTGGCTTATTCATTGCGCACTGCTGCCTCTGCACTCTGGATGAACCAGTGAAGGAGGCTGTGCAGGATGTTGTGATGAGAGTCCACTGGTTTGGATTTACATTGCACCTTGCACCTCCATAGCTTTGCTGTTTGAACTGAGCAGAAAGTTACCATCTGCTGCTCTGTCACGTTTATCCCTCTGATGGCCTTGATAACCAGATTTGGACAATGTAGGCCTATTAGTGAATGTTCATTTTCATGTGAGAGGGATTATTGCTAATGTGTATGTGTTAAAGGTGCTCTTTTTGTGTGTCTGCACAATAGATGAATGTAGTATCTGATGTGTGTGTGTGTGTGTGTGTGTGTGTGAAGGTTTCAAAGTCGCAGTGATCTCCAGGGACAGCAGCCGGCTGGAGAAGCTCCAGTCATTTGTCTCTCCCAACACAAAGGATAACCTCACCACTATAGTGGGGAATGTAGGTAAGTTGGTTTACACATAGTTCCATTCATCTAGATAGCTGTATATCATTAATCCATTCATCCATCTATTTGAAGCTCCAGAGTCTTCACAAGCTCTTATAATAGCGAAAGACATCATCTATTTTATGTGCAGTGGGAATGCCCATGTTGGAGACTGTATTGGATATGACATCAAACTGTATTATGTCTGCATTGAAAAGAACCTTTAGCAGCCCCTTTAAGGCTGCAGAGTTCATTACAAATTTGATCACAACTTGTACTTGTGTGTTTATTTTACAAATATCAAACAACATTAGTTTGGTTTTGTTCAAATTTATTGATAATTTGCTTGTGTCAAACCACATTTTTAATTTACTAATTTTTTGCCATGAGTACCACCAAAAGCTGCTGCAAGTTTTCCCTGAACAGAATATATTGGGGTTGTCCCCAACTAAAACAAATTTAAATATTCCTGATACTTTACATATGTCATTTATACACAGAACAACAGTTCAGGACCTAGTACAGACCCCATGTGGAACTCCACAAGTAATATCCAGACATAATGATTAGAAATTACCAATATGTACAAATTGTTAATAGTTTACAAAATTGCATTTTAGCCAGTTTAGCGCAACCCCTCTGATTTAAATACCTTTTCATTTTATTGAGTAATATGTCATGATCTATGGTATCAAATGTTTTTTTTTAATCTATAAATACTCCCACTGCATAGTTTTGTTATCTATACACCTGGTTATTTCTTCTGTTTTCATTTAATTAATGCCATGGATGTTGATCTGTTTGTTTTGAATCTGTGCTGACTGTCTGACAACAATATGTGCTTTATGAAATTGTCTAACAGTCCACAAAGAGTTTTTCCAGTATCGTAGAGAATCATCGTAGAGATCATTTAGCCGTTTCCTTTTTACGTGGAAACGTATCCATTTTGAATGACAGGTTACAAATGTAACTTAGTGGTTTAATAATAGCCACGATGACTTTCTTAACTAAAGTGACATTCATTCCAGTCTGTTGATGTTTTGTTCTTAAACTTGCTTACGATATCAGTAATTTATTTTACTTCTGCTGCTCTCAGAAAAATAGAGCTTGGATCTCCATAATCCTTTATAGTCGCCCCTTCTTTTGGCTGTGGATGATTGAGTTCATCTGCCAGTTTGGGTCTTATAAAAAAAAGTTGTGAAATCCAGAAACCACATCATTCATATTGTTTACAGTTTTTCCAGTGTCAATAAAATACTGAGGATAACTTGTGTTTCTGGATCCATTTTTAATAATGCTATTTAATATATTCCATATGCCCGTAATTTTGTTTTTGTTATATCACTTATATTTGTTTTTTGCTTTTCTTTTATGAATTCTTTATATAGTGGGATTTTTGCAGGCATTTTGTTGTCCCTTTGTCATCCACAGCCTATCCTAACTTACTTGCTGTAAACAAACCCATGCCCGGTTCAATACTCTTGGGAGTTTTGTCGCTTCAACCTTGCTTGTTCTGGTATATGGTATGACCAAGCAAGCTTATTGTTGCTAATGTTTTCTAATGTTTGCAGACTTTTGATTTATTCTTGTGTTAGGAATTAAATAAGATATTTTATGTTAAAGGTTGTCAGTTAGGTTTTTTTTGTTGAAGAAAGCTCTTGGTAGTCAAATTGGAAAGGGTTCATCATCGGGGGAGCATAAATGTTCTTAGTAAATGTTACTGATAACCTGTTATGAAAATGTGACTGATAGTAGTGCTGACGGCAAGGTGAGAAAGTAATCCAAAAAACATTAGGATTCATCCTTTTGGGACTATGGCTATTGAAAGAAGATTTAATGGAAATTCCAGCCTTCCGTGTTTGATGACCTTGTACCTTACCATGTATCTCAAGAGGAAACAGTTAGGTTGGAAGGCCACCATAATTGTTATGAATCATCCTCTAGGGGGGCAACTTCTCAGGCTCCAGCTCTAAATGTTTTCTCTCTAATCTTTACTTTGACCTAAAGAAATATGACGTAATTGAGTAAATATTCCTCTGTTGGCCAGTCAGTTCAGAGTAATGAAGATCACATTTACTTGGCATTGTTGAGGATCCTTGATTTGCAATTAGAGAAGCCTAGATTATTTTCCAGCCCCTTCAGCATGTTGCGATCCCTACAATAAATGCAAAGTCAGCCAATTCCTGTGAATTCTGTACAACCTTGCAGTTTTGTCCAATCACCATTTCATCCAGTCATCTTTTATAACAGGTAAAATCTAATTTAATTGTAGATCTGCATGCAGTTGGTCAGCCCCTCTCTTTTTCTCTCTGTTTTATCATGTGACTACTGCTGCAGGAATATGAGGGCAAACTGTTAGCATTGCATGGCTAACATTACTCAACGTTTTGAAGGGTTTAAAAACAGAGTCAAGCCGTTTCAGTGTCAGTGCGAGATTGTTGGAACTGTGTGGGATGTCAGCTGCTGCTATGTTAGCTTGTGCTAACCGGGCAGAGAGAGCAGGGGGAGAGCGGCCCATGGAAACTGTCCTTCAGCACTATGTCAAGCAGCCCCTGCAATTTTTATTGCAAAAACACGCCTAAAAACACTGCAACATGCATTGCAATTTTTTTAGAAAAGCTGCCGGGAAATCAGACATTTCACGCGGCAACAAATTTAGAAAACAGCCACAAAATCCTGGAAGGAGTGATTATGCCATTGATTCAAATGTTGCAGATTTGTCAGCAAAATATTCATTCTGTGAATTGCAGCATAGTATAACAAGAATACATTTCACTAAAGACACTTAAATGGCTTAACTTGCAATGGGATCGCTCCAGCTGCAATACAGCCATCTGCAACTTAAATCAAATGTTGACCAGGTGCATAAAATGAGGCAAAGGGGCAACGACACCTTCCCAATTTCCTACCCCCCTACTTGCTTGGACCACACCCATCTTCTCTCTTTATTTTGATCTCAAGTACACACCTGTAAAGTTCTGTGACAGCATATTGCACAGTTGCAATGTTATGGCATTAACAAAATCTGTCCACGAACGGACAGACACATAACCACCTGGCAAAATACTCAAAAACGATCCTGTGGCAGTTCCTGCCAAAATAGGTGCCACCAGGACCCTAAGACCCAGTTAGGTTTAGGCCAAGCCTTCAATGTGTATGTTTGGCTCCGCCCCTGCTCCAACCTCTGTTTGCAAAATATAGCAGCTTCGGCCAAGAACAATTAATATCTGCCGTTAGAACCCTATATTAGTCTAAATATACACATATTTGTCTGAAATGCTGTTTTGAAGGCCTCAGTCTCAGCTGGACCATCACCTGGAAGCATATCCTCTCCTGAAACCTTGTCTCTGTTCCAGGGTCAGAGGAGGGAGCAGAGCAGGCGAAACAGGCCCTGCTGAAGGCGGTGGGGAAGGTGACAGACATTGTCTCCTCTCTGGGCTTCAGTTGGTGGCAGGGAGGACCGCCACACACCCAGTCTCTCAAAGACCTACACTGGGTGAGCAGCATACAGACATAAACCAGACACTGGCAGGACCAATACATGAGACTAACAGTGGTTTTGATTAGATATTTAATTTTATACTGATGGCAGTAATGGTTGTCAGATGAGTCTTAGAAGTAGTAGTACATCATGTCTGAAATTGTTGCAGAGGGTTTTCCTCTGTTATACGGAATAAATTCTGATTCTTGCCTGATCATTTCATATTTCATCTCCTGTCAACTCTCTAGGTAATTGAGACATTACTTTTCAGTACATTTGTGTCATGGAAGGCCTTCTTTCCCTTGGTGAGGGACGACCCCAACTGTACCTACACCTTCATAACAGGTGACTTCTTTAGCTGTTTATTTCTACCAATAGCACTCTGTAAAAACTGATGTAATCTGAAAGCAGCTGCCTGCTGCTGTTGCTGCTGCTGCTAGAGGCAAGGTTGATGGAGCAATGAGAGTCAATCAAAATAGTAAAGTTGAGGGCCATGAGCAAGAATAGTAAGCTGAAAGATGCTTAGCAGCTCAGAGGAGCATTACACAAAGTCACTTTATCCATTTTTAATAAAAAATATTGATTAGTGCAGCTTTAACTTATAAAATAAGCATATTGAAGTCATCATTACAACAATTTCAGTCATTTTTACCATTTTCTCCAACAGAAACAAGAACAATCCAGGAGATTTTCATAGTCAATAAAAAGGAGTGTGTTGTGGTTTTGTGGTCTATAGTCACCTCAGCCATATCCTTCAGCACATAGACGATCTGCCCAGCTGTGGAAAAGCAGCCAAAAAATGATTGCTAGCAAGTGTGACATAGTTATATAGTGTTATGCCTCTGTTTCTCTGTGCCACAGGAGGAGCAGGTGAGAAGTTGCTGATGCCTGGTACCGGCTTCCTGACAGTAGGAGCTGCCAGCACCCTGGCCTTCTGCCAGGTACTACGAGAGGAGTATCCTGAGATGCCCTGCAAACTCAACCAGGTGAGGCTTTAATGGGATTACGCAGCAAGACCTCAATTAAGGAAGCACCAAAGCTGATATAAGATATCTACCTGACCTCGATTTTATAAATTCAGATCTGTTCATTTAGGTCTCCGCAGCTCAGTCCGAGATTATAAAAGAAATCCTTCAGATTTCATTCAGTGTGGCAAAATCCTGTTCCTTCTCCCGCAGAGACTTTAAAGGTCTAGTGTGTGGGATTTAGTGGCATCTAGTGGTGAAGTTGCAGAACTGCTACTTCACCCATGTGCCAGGTGTGTGGGAGAACTACCCTGGTAAAAACACAAATGGAGCCAGTGTTTGGTTTGTCCATTCTGGGCTACTGTAGAAGCAATATAATGGACTCTGTGGAAGAGGACCTGCTCTGTAGATATAAACAACTTGTTCTAGTAACGAAAAACACAATGATTCTTAGTTTCAGGGGATTATTCACTAATGAAAAAATGTTTATGAATACTGCATTCAATTTCTGCCAGTGTATCCTCCTAAATTCTACAGACTGGACCTTTAAATAAAGAATTCATGCCTTTTAAAGATGGCTTGCTAGAAAATTGAATCAATTAATCAGCTTGATGTGCTACAGGTCACATTAGAACTGAAATACAACTTCAGGATTTGTCTTTTCACATAATGCTTTTCACATAAAGTTGAAAATGATTTCTCTCAACAGTTCTCTAAATCACTTGCCCTGTGTTCTCCTTTGGGAAAATAAAAAACAGAAACCAAAAGATATAAATATGTATTTTATCATGATAACGCCCCCTAGTTAAGTACTTATATGAAGGAATATGATTTTGCTGTCTGCCAGCTCAAACAAAAAGGATCGTTCTGATATCTCCCCAGTTCTGGTAAACATATTCATTGGGTTTGGCTATTCTCTCTGCATTCGTCATGTGTTCTTGGAAAACATTCCTGAAACAAGACGCAAGATACCACATTACTTTATTATCCACAATGTTTGCAACTCATGTATTAAGAGTTTCTGAAGCTGGTCTCCTCTTCTCATCCGTTCAGTCGTGGTGTTTTTTGTTTCATGCACACAGGAAATAAGGAACATCACCAACTGTGAGTGTTTCGCCAGTAAAGCTGGACAGTAAAATGTATGTATAGGAACAATATGAAATGGAATCTTAATATTATATTTGATTTTAATTGTTGATGTCACAATTTAATTCAGACTTGATTCTCAATTTCAAACTGATTCTTGATTCAGTAAATACAGAAAGAGGCACTGTTTTTAGAGATCTTACTTTGGTTCACTGCCAGACCAATCACTGGTGTCATGCTGGTCAACTAAATTGTAATACACAACATTTTTGGCTGTTAAACAAAGCGGTCCTATTTAAAGTCTCTGACAAACAGAAAAAGATACAAAAAGGGTTTAAAGGTAGCCTCCAGCAGTGAAGACTACCCTCTCTGATGCCATGCTAACACCACTGAAACCCATTGTTATCTATAACTCAGTATGGGCACTAGGGCTTTTGAAATGAAAGAAAATGTGGGCCGAGTTGCTTTCTTCATCTGACCAGAGTTACCTGAAGTTTTGTAAAGTGCTGCAGCGTGTTGGTTTGTTAATGCTGAGTTGGCACTCATTTTAAGGGTAACGGCTTGTAAAGGTTTAATAGACTACTTTGCTTATGTCTTGCAAAGCTAATTTTTAATTCACTAAAAGGAATACTTCACCCACAGAATGACCATCTAATATCAATAACTCACAGTGTGTTACCTTGAATTTTTCTCGCATTCCTCCTAGGTGAACGGAGAATCCAAAAAAGTTGAACATTCTTCATAAATTCAAGTAATTAGGGACTACATTTAACAACAACTAAACTATATCAAAACATCTGTTTACAAACTCTCGCACAACTGGTGCAATATAATCCAAGTTTCATTTATCCAGTCGTATGCTCAGTACTTCTCAAACACATACAGTTTGGCTAAAACATTACTATATGGAACACTTCTGCCTAAGATTAGAGCGCCCTGGGTAAGCTTGTAATTTTGAGCTAGGGTGCATGTGTGCCCTGGCACACTACTCGTTTGTGTGAGATGGTTTGTACTGACGTGTTTTAAATGATTAAAATTAAGCAAAAATACATGTTTTGATATAGTTTTGTGGACCTTGATTACTTTTATTTATGAAAAATATTCACCTTTTTTGGATTCTCCACTCACCGTGGAGGCATGTGAGAAAAACAAAGTTTTCATCATGGAGTACAGGCAACACGCTACATCTGGGACCATGGCAACATCCCCTACATTAAAGCCGCTACAAGGAACTTTTAACTGGATATGCAAAAGTCTCTCGTTTCTGCTGATGTCTGTGCGTGACCTACAACAGCAAATGAGACCATCGGTGTGAAGATAAGCTATTTCTATGTAGTGTATATCCATACCTTTAGGAAACTGTGTCCGGGTCCGCCCCAGGTCGCTTCCGGGACGAAATGATTTAAGGCACTCAGACGGCACACTTCATCTTACCTAGCTGCTTACATTTATTGACTCTTATAAATAGTCGCTATTCCTCCTCCTCAACCCGACGTCCGCGGGGAGTTAAAATAGCAGCAATCATCGGGTAAAAGTTCTGTGAAAGCACTGGACTCACCAACAGTCAGCCACGTCTCAGTCACACAGAGAAAATCCAATCCTCGGGAAGTCAGGAAATCCTTCAGGATAAACGTTTTGTTCGCTAGCGATCTAGCATTTACCAGCCCAATCCTGGCAGGAGCCAGTTCACGGCGTTAGCTGTCCGGGGAGCCACACACAGAGGCCACAGGTTGCGCAGATTCACCCCGCGCCAGCGGGGACGAGGAGAGCAGGGGCCGCGGGGCTGGAACACCTCATCTGGGCCAACGACAGGTACCAGCCAGGCGTCGACAGGGTCCAGCAAGTGCCGAGAAATAAAGAGGCGAGGCACCGCTCCATACTCAGTCCAAGAAGCCGTGGAAGTGATCGCCAAACAGGACTTCAGCCTTACGAGCCGACAGCTGCGATTACCCCGGCGGCGGTGGCGCTTACGCCGGAGAGGTGGAGCTGGGGCATGGCAGAGGTGAGCTGGGATCGCCGATAGGAGGGGTCCATGTCATTGGTCCAACAGCCCATTGGTCCGACATCCCATTAGTCCGACGGTCCGCGGTGCTGAACGGCTCCCGGCGGGCGTATTTCTGCCTTGATGGTGCACCACGACCGGCTCTGAGTCAGCTGGGAAAGGCTTGAGGTGAAGCAGGCTCACGGCTTATGTGTTCGTCACTTTCTTTTTCATTTTAACCCACACCAAGATCTTTTCCTGACCCTAACCAAGTGGTTTTTGTGCCTAAACCTAAGACCTTAACCACAGGGCATCATGATGATTTCGGAACAACGGGACATCGAAATAATGGATTTAATATGGTCGGAACAATGGAATGTCGGACCAATGGGTTGTCGGACCAATGGGCAGTTCCCAATAGGAGCGGGGGCAAAGTTTTCCCGTCTTGTTGTTTCATATGTGCGAGCCAGGTAAGCGTCTTTACGTCAATACGCACTAGAGCTCATGGGAAATGTAGGCTTCATTCCGGCAAAACACTACCGCTGTTGTCCACAGGGTCGCCAAAATCAACTCAAAATGAAAGTTCCTTTTAGGGGCTTTAAGTTTAAGTTTAACTTGGCAAGAAATGCAAACTAAAACATGATCAGACAGGTTTTACGTACAGCTAAGGGTAGCTAAACTACGAGAAGAGAAAAGAAAAGAGAAGAGAAGAGAAAAAGTATCACACACACAAACACACACACACACTCACACCGTTTTCTTGTGCAATGAGCAATTATTAGCTTGACTTCAGATTCTTTGAGTTTGACCTCCAAAAAATTGGTTTCATTTGGATAAAGTATTGGCTTTTTTACGACCTGTCCTGTTTGACTACCTATCGAAGTGATGCCACCATGTCCCCACCACTTACTTTGGTGTTACTCTAAGCAATGTCCAAAGCAGATGAACTGATAAAGACCTAATTTCCTCTTCCCCAACTCTTTGGTGTCCCTAATCACCTCTCATTCAAATCTGTCTTTCTTTCCCTTGGCTTTCCTGATTTGTTAACGCCCTCTTGTGTGTATCCTCCCTGCTCTTGGTCCTGACAGGTGAAGATCGACACAGGTGTGGCCACTCCAGAGCGCATGGCACCTGGTTACCTGAACCACCTGGACCTGGGTGAGGCTGTTGCCGCCCTTGTGGAAAGACGAAACACCTCCCACACTGTCTTCACTGTCAACTGTCCGGCAGACTTAAAAACTGTCCTTCTGGACAAGAACCTGTAGACTTGCAAACCCTTTCTCCAGCCCTGCCTTGTTGTCACAGGGACACATCTACACGTCTTCTGCTCCTGCTCTTGCTGAACTCTCCAGAAACATATTTACAGTGTCTTTTTGTTTGTTTTCTTCTCCCACACCTCTGAACTCTATCCATGCATTCATGTGAATTGTCAATTGTTTCAACTAATATTGTACTGTATATTCAGCTGCCTGTTTTGCAGTTGCAAGTGTTTGCAATTGTTTTCTCTGCATGTGCTGTTGTGTGATATGTCTATAAAAATGCACAGGATTTGTAATATTCACCTTCTCATTTTTGCCTGTTTCTGTACAAATATTACCACACAGTTCTGTTCTTTCTTCTACATTGTTGGAACACATGATATCCAATATATTGACACCAGTTCTCCATGAATTTGCTAAATATACAAGGTATACAACTCGACTTCTTAAGGCCAAACTATTGGAAGAAGCAGGTTAAGACTGAAGACAGAGGGTGGAGGGGGTTCGAATTCCCTGCTGGCATTTTTCCAAGTGGTCCAAAAGGAAGAGGTTGTTTGGTCATATGTATCCACAAACCTGGAATTAAAGGTACCCTGTAGAGCTATATGGAGTAATGTTTTAATGAGCAGATGCCCATTTTGTTGTGTATTAGTTTGCACAAGAAGACGCACATTGACACACATGAGAAAGCTTTATGCAGGTTGTTAAGACTGAAAAAAATCAGCTTTGCAGATGTGAAATAAAGAAGGAAGTTCTATTCACCTTTTTAGGCCTACAGGAAGCACTGAATGAAAGTGAAACTTTTTTAACAAGAAAACTCCACAGGGTACCTTTAACACGTTGACGTAAACGCTAAAAGTGCAACATGGTCAAACAGTGGAGGCAATACAACACTTACACGTGGTGACCTGAGATGATTACGGACTTTGAGATACTGGGGATGTAGCTGGGATGGAATTTATATGTTGAGGACTTGTCTTTTTTAGTCGTGAAATATTGCAGACTTGTAACTGCTTAAAAAGCTGCAGAATTCTCTAAGGACCTTACATATTAGGAAAACTCAGACAATCACAACCTTCTGGAGACATTGAAATGTTAGGGAAATGATGTAAGGAAAAAGCAGAAGAGATGAATTAATTTCCTGTTATCCTTAAGGGTTTCAGTATGCTTGAAATAAACAAATTTGCATGATGGCATCGTCCAATGTGTTCATACCTGATCCAAAAGCCATACTCAAAGACAGCGCAAAAATCATATCCTCTATTGGCTGCATCCCACTGTCTCTCCAATCTCTCTCCAAGAACTCTGTGGCTGTGGTGAATCTTTGTACTCTCAATACAACTGAACTCTATAAATTGGGATGATTGTGCACACATTCCTACAGTCGCTCCTTGAAGACATTCACATGCTGCACTTGGTTGTAAATGCAAAATGTGACATAGATAGTTGTGTGTAGACTGAAAAAAGAGACTTGTCACTTATGCACACCATTTCAGACATTTATAGACAATTCGACAAGCACTTTGTTGAAGCATACTGAGTGTTTATAGGCCTGCATGTGTTTAAAATTAACAAGTTCATACAACATGCCGAAGTTGTGTGAAGAATTACAAGAGAGCTCAAAGCCCATCTGCCGTCTCACCTCTGCACATCTGGCCAATTGCTGCATAAAGAAGACCTCATTGTAAGATTGTCTCTGTTTCAGAAAGTCATAAAGACTGTCAAATGCCCCCCTAAATTCCAATGCAGAATAAGTGTTAGGGTTTCAGATACTGTTTGAGTTGATGACTTAACAGACACTTCATTTGAAGCATACTGACCCCTCACAGACACCATGGCTCTGAATAGTTAAAATCATTGGCTCATTGTGGATACAAAGGTTACACATCATGTCCTTGGTGCATTTTAACTCCTTGTTAGAGTTTTAATAAGGTACAAATTATAGTTTAAATATAAAGCATTTTGCATTCAAATTCCAATAAACAAGAGATATGCCACATTCTTGGCCCTATGTGTTCATTGTGGTATTTGGCTGAAAATGTGTCTTATTAGCAGTGACAGTGTGTGCAAAGGACATGGTTAAAGGTTTCAGTGGAGGCATTACTGAGACTTTGCACTGAAATCAAATTAAATGAATGTATAAAAAAAAAAAAAAAAAAATGCAAGTAGACTGATCTTTGGGGCGGGTGAGTTTGACACATTTACAGTACAAAGCCCTCGCGTGACTCTCTGTCCTGTTCACAAGCACAAGCACCGACCCCCTATAAGCCCCTCTATTTATCTGCCACCCATTATTTGGGCCAGCATGTCCCTTAGATAAACTAAACAGAAGTTTGCAGGCCACAGCAGATTGTAGTATCAGAGGGGGCATTGTTGTCTTGTGTACTGTCTGATTAATGCACACTTCTACAACAAAAATGCAAATTTGTCGTGCCAGTAAAGATGTACTGTAATGAAGATTTGGATTGCATCTGGGATGACCGGGACTGGACAAGAAATCAGGGAAAGTAGTAGTAGTGCAGGGGGGGGTGTCAGTCACAGTTTTTGTTTGGAACTTGTCGGCTGACAGCTCAATTAGGCCAAATTTTAATTAAAGCATGAGGGAGAACCCGTTGGGCCCCACTTTCTCTTCCTAATATCCTCCTCCTTCGCCCTCCCTTTCTCTTGCCCTGAAAGGACGAAAATGGTCAAACACACCCACACAAACAGCCATGTTCGCCCTCTGACGATGACTCATCTCATTCTAATAGGAAAAGAAAACTGGCTTTTGTTTAAGGGGGAACGAGGGGCCACGGTCCTCTAAACGAGACTCAGTGAAGTGAGGATCAGTCAGATTAAATGAAAGAGATTAAGTGAAATGAGAGAAAACACTGGCTTTGTTTCAGGAGCAGGGAAGCTGTAAGGACAAAAGCAGTGTTAGTCAAAAGAATAGAAAGATCGATAGAAAGCTTTTATTGTCATGTTAAACTATACAATGAAGCAAGTGCTGATTGGTGCAGTAAGAAGACACAGGAAAACACAACAATAACAAAACAAATATCTACAGCCGACAACACAAAATGGATGGATGTAGTTATTGCACTAGTATGAATGTAATTGTTGCACTAGATGTAATTATCATTTATCAGTATAAACATGATTATTGCACCAGTAATGTAATTATTGTACAAGCAAAATGCAGTTATTGCATGAGTGTGTTTGTAGTTATTGTCTAGTATATAAGTAATAATTGTATTAGTATAAATGTCATTATTGCAGGAGTATGAACATAATCAATGCACAAGTATGAATTTTATTATTGCACTAGGTGTAATTATTGTACTAGTATGAGCGTAATTATTGTACTAGATGTAATCATCATTTATTGTATGTTATTGTTATTAATTAATTATTAATTATTGTACAAGTATGAACATAATTATTGTGCCAGTAATATAATGATTGTACAAGCAAAATGCAATGATTGCATGAGTATGCTTGAAGTCATTGCATGAGTATAAAAGTAATTACTGTATTAGTATGAATGTCATTATTGCACTAGTATGAACATAATTATTGCACTAGTAATGTAATTACTGTACAAGCAAAATGTAATTATTGCACGAGTATAAAAGTAATTATTGTACTAGTATAAATAGTGGACTAGTATGACTGTAATTATTGCACTAGTATGGATGTAATTATTGGACTTGTATGAATGTTATTATTGTGCTCGTATGAATTTTATCATTGCACAAGTATGAATGTAATTACTGTACTAGTATGAATGTAATTATTGCCCTGGTATAAACATAATTATTGCACTAGTATGGATGTAATTATTGCACTAGTATGGATGTAATTATTACACCAGTATGGATGCAATTATTACTCTAGTATAGATATAATTATTGCACTAGTATGAATGCAATTATTGTACTAGATGTAATTATTGCACTCGTTTGAATGTTATTATTGCACTAGTTTGAATGTTATTATTGCACTAGTTTGAATGTTATTATTGCACTAGTATGGATGTAATTATTGCACTAGTATGGATGTATTTATTTCACTAGTATGAATGTTATTATTGCACTAGTATGGATGTAATTATTGCACTAGTATGAATGTAATTATTGCACTAGTAATGTAATTACTGTACAAGCAAAATGTAATTATTGCACGAGTATAAAAGTAATTATTGTACTAGTATAAATAGTGGACTAGTATGACTGTAATTATTGCACTAGTATGGATGTAATTATTGGACTAGTATGAATGTTATTATTGCACTCGTATGAATTTTATCATTGCACAAGTATGAATGTAATTACTGTACTAGTATGAATGTAATTATTGCCCTGGTATAAACATAATTATTGCACTAGTATGGATGCAATTATTACTCTAGTATAGATGTAATTATTGCACTAGTATGGATGCAATTATTACTCTAGTATAGATGTAATTATTGCACTAGTATGAATGCAATTATTGTACTAGATGTAATTATTGCACTAGTATGAATGTTATTATTGCACTAGT